ACAAAGATCCAATATGGTGCCCACTCCCACAAAGGTACAGAAATGCTATTTTGACAACCCTTAAGCCACTGAAGTCAAGCGTCACACTCCTAATCTTCCTTCACGCAATGTTTGCAACTCCCAATAAGTTGTTTCCATTCAGATAAAAATGAGTATTAATGGACTGACTCAGATCTGCCACAGGTAGGTACAGTAGGTTCTATTCACTCTGATAAAATTCTGAATGTCATTAGGAACAATCTATCTTTATATGAGATAACCTGCAGATTTCTTTTAATGCCTCTTTGCATCAGACAGTTATTTGCATGTTGAAGCACGGCTGTCTTCTAATTTGTTTTGTATAATAAGAAGACTTTTAAAATCCTAAAGCTCTGCTGCTGATTAGTTGTGTTCCAGTGCATTTAGTTCTAATTAACCGCAGTCTCCGGGACAATAATGGATTAAGAAAATTAACTATTGCCCATCATCCGTTTCCCATCCCAAGCTTAGAGAATCGTCAGAAGGCAGTGAGTTTCTCTCCTGCCCTGCTGTCTTCGTTACTGTTAGCAGAGAGAAGAAGCCCCGCCCACTGCTTGTAGTGCTCAGCCTCTTTGGCCCTGTGATTGGTCAGTCTCAGCCACAGTAAGAGGCACAGCCCGGAGCTGAACCTGAAGTCTCTCGGCCATTGGCTTCCCCAGGCATGCTGAATGAGTCCACTCCTGAGTCCTAGTTTCCTACAGGTCTGGAAAAAATATAGATAACATTCCGACAGGTTTGTTCTGCAGATCCTCAGGTAATTAATCTTGAGTACAGCTATGAACAACTGTTCTCTCAACACAAAAGAATCTAAATATCGGAGACCGTTTGTCTCAGTTATTAGGTCAGTGTACAATACCGTCTCTCTGCTGAAAGTAAAGCCGCAGTGCTGTTAATCATTTCTTGGTCCCCCAGATGCGGCCAGGCTGACATTTAATTGCTGCTGTGCCTGGGAGCGAATGTGGCTGATAAGTGTCAAGGAAGTAAAGATCCCTACTTCCACAGCTGGGGCCTTCTGCTGTTCTCTTCGGTTCCCATTAATCTGCAGCTTTTCACCCGGCGCGCTGCCAGGCTCCCCCTCCCGCGCAGACGAGCGAGGGCGAAGGATAGGGACAGGCCTGCAGGCTTAGCCTCTGGGATTGCTCCATCACTCCAGGCGGCTCACCAGTCCTACTGCGCTCCGTATGTCCTAGAGTACCCTTTCCTTTCTGATCGGCGCTGTGTGCTGTTAGCATTTGAGGGAATAGAACCTAGCAACCTGTTGCAGATCTGAGTCAGTCCATTAATACTCATTTTTATCTGAGTGGAAACAACGTATTGGGAGTCACAAGCAATGTGGGAAGTGAGATTAGGAGTGTGACACTGAAGAGTAGCCAATAAGAGCACTTCTGTATCTTAGTGGACATGGGCACTGATGTTTCGTAGTCTCAGGTGTAGGGAATTTGCAAGCTCTGTTTTTGTTATTAAGAGATATTATTTTTATTAGTAGGTGTTATTTCGTGTTCTCCAGAACTCTACTGGGAGTGTTTTTTGCGCTTAAATTACATCTAATGATAAAGATATCAATATTTCTGTATTAAAGACATTCTTCTTCATTTGGAGAAGACATATGCCATTTACTTGTGAAATTGACTTTGTGAAGGTTAAGATTCATTAAGATGAATCCTTCATGTAGCTCAGTTTAATTAGAAGGATAATGTCCTGCTATTAATAAAGCCCGATAATGGGAACTGCTCCCTGCACTAAAGTCAAAGCTCATTTCAATTTGATTCCACAGATGCAATGTTGTCACCATAAAGCTGTTCTAAGTAACTATCCATGAGTGATTTCAGTCTAGAAGCTAATTATGTGATGACACCAAGACTCAGACAGCTTTTATAACTAGTGACACCAAATTACATAGATGAATGTAGACCTCATCTGCTTAAGAGCTCGTTTTCCAGAACTAGAGGCCCCCTTTTTATCTGTCAGTCAGACCCCCCCCTGTGTGCTTCGCAGTGTTTCGGTAGTATCGCTGCACTCATCCGGAGACAAAAACTGCAAACCACAAAGGAAAATAGTTTGGAAATCCTTGGAAAAAATCTGTCTATATAAAGAATTGATTGCATTGCGCATTAATGATCATGCTGTAATTCCAGTCTCCCGTTACCTTGTCAATGAGCTGTAGGATGATTTTTTGTTCTCGTTGCCCCTCCATTCTTTATTAACATTGTAAGTAATAAGTGTGTGCTAGGAGCAACAGCTTTTGGTAGGAGTAAGTGGA